TTGGTAGCTCACACCAAGTGCGGGGCTCGAACTGACAGCAGTCCTGTTCAGCTCAGATGTTTAACCAGAGGATAAATCCCCTGTGCCACCGCTCCCCAAACTAATTAACTAATAGTACCTCCGGTCTTATATGGATTAAACACCAGCTGTTGTTGTTTTAGTTTCATCCACCCCATTATCTAGGGTTGCCAAGTCCCATCTTCACCCCTAGCAGGGGGCTTCGGGGGGCATTCCTTGAGGGGGCTGGGCATCCCCACGTGATGACATCACATTGTGGATGTCCCCCCGCCCACCCCATCTCCCAGTGGCGCCGGTTCCCTGCACTTAAAGGGGTCCCTCTAAATGCAAGGAGCCGGCGTTTCCCACACGCCCAATGTCCGCAGAGACCGGGTGCAGGCGTGGTGGGGAACACTGGCTCCCTGCACTTAAAGGGGGCCCCTTAAGTGCAGAGAGCTGGCGTTCCCCACCCCGCATGCACCCGTTCTCTGCGGACATTGGGCGTGCGAGAAACGCCGGCTCCTTGCATTTAAAGGGGGCCCTTTAAGTGCAGAGAGCTGGCATTCCTCACCCTGCGTGCCTGATCTCCGTGGAGATTGGGCGCATGGCCCACAGCCACCCCTCTCCCTCCTCTCTCTCAAGAGAGAAGGGAGAGGGGTGGCTGGGGGTGTTGGGGCTTGGGGGCAGGGCTTCCCCCGATGGCCAGCGGGCCAGCGGTGGGTAGAAGCCCCCAAAAAGCAGGGGACCCCTGCCAAACTGGGGGGGGGGGTTGGCAACCCTACCATTATCTAATCCAAGTGTTCGTTCAAGACTTCCACAGGCCCACCTAATTCAGCTATCAGGAACAGAGCTGAGTGACATCTGCATACTGGTGTCACTTTTGTCCAAACTCCTGCACAATCTCTTCCCCAGTGCCTTTATGTAGCATAGTGGACATATATTAAATAGCATGGTGGACAAGAAGGATCCCTGTAGAATCCCAGAACATGAAATCCACAGAGCTGAGCAGCAGTTCCACAGTACCATCTTCTGGAACTTGCTAGACTTGTTAAGACAATAATCACTGAGGCACAACTCTGTCCATGGTCAACCCTGCATACTATGGCCAAAATGTACAGAAGAATCAACAGCATTCCCACTGTCACTTTCACAGCCCCCTCCCCCCAAAAAGTCAGTATGACCAAGGCTTTTTCCATTCCAAACTAGGATTGGATATGGATTGAAATGGGTCTAGATGATCCATCTCCTGCAAGACTCTCTGCAGCTACATAACCACCAACTGCACATGCACCTTGCCAAAAAAAATGTTGGCTACCAGGCAGTAGCTTTTTTGGTCATTCAACTAATCTATAGTAGTTTCCTCTACATTCCTCTCATTTGCCAAAAACTGTTGAGAAGGACCTCATTAAGTTTGATGTATATTAATGTGCTGATTTTGCCACTACATTCCTCTCATTTGCCAAAAACTGTTGAGAAGGACCTCATTAAGTTTGATGTACATTAATGTGCTGATTTTGCCTTAGAACTCTTTCTTATTGGGAAGAGGTTGCCTTTTTGGTGAGTGTTGGTGTGGAAAGTGTTGGGGAAGTCCTGCACCTTTTCCTAGGAATCCCATCCCTACCTGGCTCAGCTGGGGGGGGGGGTTAAACTGGAAGGAACCCCATAGTTTGAGAGAGGAGGGGGTAACCTGTTCCAAAGTTAAAACAATTTACTGAAAATCTTAAACCCATAATGCAAAAGTAGCAATTTCAGTATTTATCTTACGGAAGGCAAAAGACAAACCAATAAACAAATAGTGCATTTATTATTCATTTAGGAATTATTATCTATTTAGGAATGCATTCTAGCCACTCTGGCAAGACCTAACCACAGTGTTAGCAGAGAGCCTTTAGCATCTCAAACGCTGGTATTAAATGTCTTTAGAATCCAGATTAGCTGTCAATCCAGAAATCAGATGGTTCTGACGAAACCCTCCCTTTTCTGACCAGAAGACTCTGACCAGAGTCTTTGTATTACTAGGTTAAAAACACCCTCCCTGTCAAGGCAGGAGCTTGGAGCCACATGTTCTCATATCTAGTTGTTTTGGCTTCGAGGCTGGAACTCAGAAGTGCAAACAGTTCTTTTAGAGCAGAGTGCAGGGTGCATTGTCAGGCTGAAGAGCCTCCTGCAATGTTTTATGGGAGAGAACCAAACAGAGAGGCCTAAACGAATTCAGGCCACTGTACAGAACTGCACCGTCTCTCTTATAATTCTGCCACAGAAAGGACCATAGAAAATAATCCAGAATGCCTGTTACTGAATTATGTACCAAGAGTTCCAATTAGATACAAACCTCTATCTTGTAACATAATTACTGCAGCATATTTACCTTTTTCATGTTACTGGAAACCAAACAAGATGCATGAAGTTAGAGAATGTCTCAGTAAAGTGAAAGAGGTTTTTATTATGCTAAAACTTACATCTCTCCAAAGGAATGAGAACTTTGATTTATCTATGGGGCATATTCAGTCAAAAGTTGAAGAACTAAACATGTAAGATTTTTAAAATTTGTAATGTAGAAGAAGAAGAGATTGGATTTATACCCCACCCTTCACTACCCAAGGGAGTCTCAGAGCGGCTTACAAACTCCTTTCCCTTCCCCTCCCCACAACAGATACCCTGTGAGGTAGGTGGGGCTGAGAGAGCTCTGACAGAAACTGCTCTTTTTCAAGAACAGCTTTTATCAGAACTACGGCTTGCCCAAGGTCATCCAGCGGGTGCAAGTGGAGGAGGGAGGAATCAAACCCAGTTCTCCCAGATTAGAGTCCACACACTTAACCACTACATCAAACCGGCTCTCGATGTGTATGTATCTATATGAATAACATTAATTTTATTTTAAAAAGTTTGCTGTACACTCTTGGAAGTGTCAGGACCCATCTCATCCAAACGAATATGTGTGGAGATGTCATGTCTTACCTGATTGCTGGTGGGGGGAAGCCCTGTCCCACCCAATGGGCCCAGTGCTGGGCACATCAGGCAGGACACTCTAGCATTTGGGCCAAAAACTCTATGATCACCATAGAGTTTTTGCCCAAGTGCTGAAGTGTCCCTGGCACGATGATGTCACTTTCAGGTGATGACACTGCACCAGGCAAATCAGTCGGGACATGACTGTTTGGGGATGGGACTCCCCTCACAGACCAACTGGCCAGTGGTGGATTGGGGCCTTTGAAATCAAGGGAACCCCCACCCCCATCAGGGGGATGGCATACAGCTATCTGTTGGACATAGTCCTGGCTGTTGATTCTTCACTTGAAGAGACTTTTCAAATGCTACTTCTACAATACCAGATGTGCACTTGTCCAAGGAATGCTAAGCTATTTGTTCCTGCTCAGAGTCACCTTCTCCAGAAGGTAACGGCACTATTGAGTCATCTGATGAACAGCCTGACTCCACCTCTCCTGAGCCACCTGCTGAGTCAGATCCTGCAAAGACACCACAAAGGCAGTGGCATCGACCAATCCGAAGGGCTGATTATTCTAGCTGGGTGGGGCACATCTTACTGTATCTCAGCAGGTTGATTTATGGCAGCTTTGCAAAAACTTGCAGCAATTAGTCAGCAGACAGGCAGCACCAGTTTTCAGATAGTTTAGTACAATCATCTGAAGGAAATATGCACCAAAATAAGCTGGAATAAGATATTATTTCTATATACCTTCTGAATTATGCCCTGGATCTTGCAGACAGTTTAGTTCAAGCACAAAGGTGCTTGTATCACAGTATGATAATGTAAACATATGGAAGCTCATTCATAGACTGTTGTGTGAATTAGCACCGGAGTATGCAAATTTTTTACTTGAAAACAGGAGTTAAAAGGAACCTGTAGCAGCTGTACTGTTTTAAAGTTTTGCAGTGGATACATCTCCATACAGACTCTAGAGGTTGTTAACAGGAAAACCCAAATATAGTATTTTAAAAAGACCAAAAAAGGGGGAGCTCACAGCGTGCTTAATGTTTTATTTTTTGCTTCTCTGGGAAACTACAACAGCCACTTGTGCAGCCAGTGGACTCTAAAATCTGGTACTTTTCAAAAGATTATGTCTTTTAGAAAAGGCACATTCAGATATCTGATTATTGAAAAGGTATGTTTGAGATTTCAGTGACAAAATACTACTGAACTGTAAAGAAGATGTGAAACCCAGCCCCCAATTCATGTTTAGCTTATGAAGTTTAGCTTATGGCTAAATATTTGCAAATCGTATTTTAAAATTATCTCTAACAAATTAAAGTCACATCAATTGCAAGCAATAAAACAAGTTAGCTGCATCTCTCCAGTTCATGTAGGGTTTTTTTTAGTGTAACTCTCAATGGCAAGTATACTTATTCAACCATTCTATAGAACATGTTTGTCCCATCAGTCTAAAGGCTCATGCACATGCATTTTAAAGCTTGACTGCTGGTCTATAAGACAATTTCTGTCTACCTCTAGGTGATTCTGAAACCACCCCTAACCAAGAGCAAACTTGCTATTGACTAGAGAACTGACTTAAGAAAAATGTCAAGTCTCCAATTCAAAAGGCTTCATAATAATTCCCCCCCAAAAAGCTGTTTGGAAGATAAAACACAACACTGAAACATTGCAAGTGATGCGGCAAGCAAATCCTGCCCCAGTTTGCTTACTTTGGACTTCTAAGGTTACAAGCAAAAAGGCAACAATGACCCTATCACAAGTCTCTTCCATACTCAAGCCACCATAGTAACAGGTGACAAAATTCTGTGTCACATCATAAATGAAAATATGTCCATGGTCTATGCGTGTGTACCTGAAGTGAGTTCTTTTGAGACAGTGGTAAGTTTTTTTCTACAAGACTCCAGCAACTGCTACATAGGATCCATATATAGATTATACTGAGTACTGCTTTAATCACTGGCAATAATCACTCAGATTAAAAAGAATACAAAAAGCAGAAGCATCACAGAGGAAATCCTTTTAATTAAAAAAAGTCACACTACACACTTACCACAGCGATTTTCATCTTCACCATTAGGGCAATCATTTACTCCATCACACCACTGAGATGGTGACACACACACTGCTAGAGTGCCGCACCGTATTTTGGATCCAAAACAACTGTCTGTCACTGAAAATGTACAGATAGGTAAGAAACACTGATAAGACTGCCACTCCACTCCATACCCGAAGCTTTGAAAACAGTGAAGAAATGCTGTAGCTGTATGACAGAGCCATCTGTCTTATGTAGCACAGTATAAACAAATCAGCTTGCTTATTGGGCCCCCCAATACCATTAATATTCTTTACTTTTAGGTCAAGTCAACAAAATATTATTGTCATATAAGGAGTAATAAATGCAGTAATTTGCTAACATTTTAAGTGATCAGAACTGTGCACTGACTACTCATACTGATAAGTCAAGCAGCAATTTCTTACAGGAAAGGGCAGTTGGGTTTAATATCTTCTACTGTATGGTCTGTTTTATGAGAAGCAGCCATCAAGTAAATTTTTATTCATTAACTTAAGCCTCAAGGACAACTGTGAAATACAGGCAGCACAGGCTAAGCATAGCCAAGGTTACTCAAACCCAACTGATGGTTAAATCAGAAGGCAGTTTCTCATAGGGCAGTGAAAACAAGCCTATGCAAAACAGAACATTAAGGGTTATAACCTTTCACATGTAAATATGTATTTAGAATGGAGTGCACTCCAGTATAAATAGGAAAATTAGTAGTGAACAGTGCCAAATCCATCTTCCTCAGATTTCTACTGTGATAGCTCTAAGTTGTTCCAACTTCCAGGCCACAAGGGGAAAAAGGGAGATAAAGCATTGTCAAGAGGCCAAAGCAGTGATCACAAATTAAACACATCATAAGAACACAATCAGCAAGGAGAGAGATTCACCATTCAGGCTCAACCAAAGGAAAAGTTATAGAAGTGTTTATTTCAAAGAACTCACTACACAGGTACAAGAATGTCCTTACCAAAGTACCAAATTAAGATGCCTGCAATTGTAGCTCCCAATAGCAGAATTATAATCGACAGACTGAGGCACAGAGCTCTCCTAATTCCTGCAATTGAAAGAACAAAGAAGTCAACACTGACACATAAAATTTGCTACACTTATACTTATATAGGTATAAGCTGCCCTGGCATTAGCAAATCACTTTACCTAGCTGGCCAATGAAAGTTAACTAGCCCTACTTATATGTCTTCTATATTGTATATTAGAAGCATGAATGTGCTAAGATCTCCACTTTGAATGAATTTCAAAGCCCCTGTTCATATGTTTAAAAGCCTCTACCCCATGAAATAGTGTCATCACTCTACTGGGGAGAAAAGTATGAATTAAAGCAGCCATCCCAGTATCCGACCTGCTCATACAATTCTTTCCTATCCTTCTTTTGGAGGGAGAGAAACTGTACAAGCTAGCCTTCCAACAGGATCAGCCATCAGTATAGGCCAAGTTCACACATTATGTCTCCTGGTTGTGGTGGAGGAGGAAAAGTGCCATCAAGTCACAGCCGACTTATGGCAACCCCATAGAGTTTTCAAGGTAAGAGATGTTCAGAGGTGGTTGGCCATTGCCTGCCTCTGTGTAGCAATGCTGGACTTCCTTGGAAGTCTCCCATCCAAATACTAACCAGGACTGACCCTGCTTAGCAACCAAGATCTGACAAGATCAGGCTAGCCTGGGCCATCCAGGTCAGGGCATATACCTCCTGCAAAGCTCTGATAACAGGATCATTGCAGCAGTGTGGGGAATGTTTAAATGAAAGCAGGAAAATGGTTTTACCTGCAGACTGATGTGATTATATTAAATATAATTATCACAGATTCAATGAAATACTTACTTGCTGTACAGAATTTTCTAGGTGAAGAAATGGGATGCGCTATTGTAGTTGCTGGAGCTGAGGGTTGAGTGCAAACTCTCGGGACATAATGTGGTACTGTTGAAGGATAGTATGGAGACATATATCGTCTGCCCACATAAAAGCCACTCGCAAGACTGGGAGCAGCAAGGTTTTCTGACTGATAAGCATAATTTTCATAATATGGAGGTGGCCTCTGAAAACAATGGTAAAAAGTGTCAGTAGAAAACCTGTCAGTGTCAGGAACACATCAAATGTAACACTTCATAAAAGCAGCAATCTGCAGTAGTCCAGTGAAGACGGACTAGCACAGAAGAGGTGATGTTAAGGATGCACATTTTTAAATAGACTGTAACTAACAGGTTATTTAAGCTAAACAAAGTTATTTTTACAATCTAGAACTCAGCTTCAGTGCTAAATGTAGAAACGCTCATTTTCAGTACTGAAGCCATGGGCTAACTGAATGTTGCTGTTTCATGAGCATGCTTGAAGAATGAACTTTAGAAAAGTTTTGATTGATCATCAAGTGATGATAAATTGGTTTTCTAAACACAAGCACAACAAAGTTTTCCATAAGCCCTCTAGCTACAGCAATTTCGGACCTCTTTATAATACCAAGTAGAACCTCTTGATGTCAGTGCAACTGCTCCAGCATTATGGGCATTCATTTTTGATAATATTCAAAAGACAAATCAACATGCTGAATTAAAACTACACATAATGTTCAGCATTTCTAGATTTGTGTTATATTTAAGAGATTATTAGCCCAAACCTATAATCCAGCAATCCATTGCCCAAGTAATGATCAGGCTTAAGGTATTTTTGACAAGAGAAACATAGTGCTCTGCCATGTAGGGTTGCCAGCTCCAATTGTTCTGACAGCAGGGGGTAGGAGGGAGCCTTCCAGCAGTGGGGGGAGTGGGGCAACGTCACACTAGCATGATGATGTCAAGTGGAAGTGACATCACCACATTGGGGATGTCATGTGGCAGCGCTCTAGCATTTTGGCCAAAATGCTAGAGCATCACCACACAAAATTCCCAGAGTGATGATGTCATTTCCATGTGACGTCAATGCGTGACATGCCCGTTTGGGGATGGGGCTTCCCCGTTGGCTGGCAGTGGGCTGAAACCCCCAAAATCGGGGGGAAACCCACCCAGACCAGGGTTCTGGTAACCCTATTGCTATGGCTACTGACTATACTGTACAGGCCAAGGAAGGCTGCTATGGCCCCACAGCAAGGCTGAGGGAGATTTTATGAGTGCTGCCAAAAAACACCACGTGGAAGGAAGAGGATGAGGGCTGAGAGGCCTTGAGAGCTGGGTGCATGTAGGAGTGGATAAACAGCTTTTCCAGGGGGTGGAACCTGATTGCCACAGGAGTTTTTCCCCAGATGGTTTTAGACACCCAGTTCACCTCTAACCAATAGCTTCACTATGCTATGTTCTAACAACATATTGCAACCAGGACCAAAATTGTAGCTATTGCAAGTGGACACGTAGCCGTCCTTATTGATGAGTGCTCAAGCATGGGGATTTCCCCGGCAAAAGACAGAGCAGACTTATTTTGTATACTTACCAGAATGACCCGTCATCACAAGGGAATTTATACTTTTAAAACATAAGTAGTACTTTAGATGTACATAATATACTACATTTTGTCTGACTTGAGTGCAATATGGACTTTATTTTATGGTCCTGTGTATTTCCAACTTTAGAGGTTTTGTAATCAGGGGTCATTTTGTAGAAAAAGAGCTAGGGGAACTCATTAGCATATGCCACACACCCTGACATCAGGGGCCCGGCGGTGGACCTGCAAGGCCAGCGGGAGTGCGAGGAAGCCCCGCCAAGGCCCTCCCTGGCCCCAGGCAGGCAGGGGTGGGGAGAGGCGGGGAGGAAGCAACTTACCCTCCCTCTTCTCCTGCCTCCTCCTGGCTGAATGAGGGCTGGAAGTGGGGCAGCCGGAAGCAGGGGGCGGGGCTTCATCATGTGCCCCGCCCCCTTGCACCTCACCCGGGGGAACTGCATTCCCCCGCATTCCCCCCGAAATGACCTCTGTTTGTAATGCTCATTTTATGGATCAATGTGGAGATTTAAACAATATCTACTTTTCAGAAAGTAATTCTTCCACCTGAACAGTTCTACAAGACAGCTTCAAATGGCATACAGATCACTTACCGAGTCTGATGCCATCTTGATTTTCAGCAATGCACTTCTGTCAAGTTTATACCTGTGAAGAAAAAAGTGTTTTTAGATTGATAGATGATAGATAATTTTTACAAAGTATGTACTACATCTAAGCATGCATACACACAAAATCCATAGTGGCTTGACATTCATGAAAGAATTCGTCAGAAAAGAAGACCATACCAATGTTGGAATATGCAAGGTTTATCGTGCATAAAGAAGATGACAAGAACATCCTGCAGGGACAGCAGAGGGAACAACTAGTTAGCATAGTGAGATTAGGGAGTTCCTACTATTTTCAAATATTCTCCTTCTTGTCTCCTTTTTGGCTCAATTAGGGGGTTTTCTTGCTCCTGCTGAGTTCTGCTTTGCTGCTGGTTGCCTCCTAGCTAGACACTTAGACTTCCCTTTCTCTCTCCTCTTTCTTACAAAGTTTGTTCCCTTCTTAATACAGCTATTACATTCTCTAAACAGCTTGTGCTCTGCTTTACTGCATATCTATACTCTGCCAACAGCCTATAAGAACTAAAGCACTTTTTAGGTATATAAAAAAAGAGAGAGAAAGAAGTACTATTTTCCCTTTCTCCCAATACAAGAACTTGTGGGCACTCAATGAAATTAATAAGCAGTAAACTTAGAACAGATAAAAGGATGTACTTCTTCACCCTAAGAGTAATTAGCACACGGAGTTCACTGCCCCAAGTAAGTAGTGGTGGCAGCTACAATCATAGACAGCTTCAAGCAGGGATTAGATAAACACGTGGAACAGAGGTCCTTCAGTACCTATCAGTCATAAGGTATAGATGGAACACTATGTCTGGGGCAGTGATGCTCTGTATTCTTGGGTCCTTGGGGGCAACAGTAGGAGAGCTTCTGGTGTTCTGGTCCTGCTGATGGACCTGTTGGCACCTGGTTTTTGGCCACTGCGTGACACAGTGTTGGATCACTGGCCTGATCTAACATGGTTTCTCTTATGTTCTTATGAGTGTAAACACAACTGGCTGCAGCCCCTTACCCAGAAATTTTTGTTAGGGGGGATTCAAGGGGCAGTTCAGTATAGTGGAGCTGACTACATCACAGGGTTGTTGTTCCTAGGGAAATATAGAGGAGGAGAGGCATGGCTTGACAGGTAAAAACTGGGGTGGAAGGAGCAGCACCTGGGGCAGTTCAGAAATAATAAAGTAAGGTCAGGATTTGTGTCTGGGAGATGTATTCTCGCTAAAGCACTGTGTGTTGCTCCAGAATCAAAGCCTACCCCTAGAAGATCCTAGATGTCTGGCAAGTGTTGCTGAAGGAGCTGGGAGAACCACTCAAGATTTTAAAGACACAATCCGGTTCCGCTGGCTGGCTGGGAGAGGAGGAAGAGATTGGATACCCCGCCCTTCACTTGGAGTCTCAGAGCGGCTTACAAACTCTTTTCCCTTCTCCTTCCCACAACAGACACCCTGTGAGGTAGGTGGGACTGAAAGATCTCTTTCAAGAACAGCTCTGATAAAACTATGGTGGTCATCCAGCAGCTGCCAGTGGAGGACTGGAGAATCAAACCCGGTTCTCCCAGATTAGAGTCCGTGCACTTAACCACTACACCAAACTAGCTCTCAGGGGACTGTAACCCCCTAAGCAGCCCCTAAGCCCCTGGTGCCAACTGGGCTATTCTCCTCACGTCCCCTTCCAACACCCCCACCCTGCCTTTGCAGGCAATCCGAGAGGAGAGCAAAGATAGGAACTTCACCTTGCATCTCCCAATGCTGCTCAGCAAGCTGAGTGCGGGCTGAGATGTGCTTCCTCTCCCCTGGCAAGGCAGACGGGCACTTCACAGAGAGGGGGATGGGGAGAGGCACAGAAGTTTGGGAAGTGTGCTGGGCACTCATAGGCACCCCCATGTGTACGGGCATGACTGGCTGGGTTTGGCTAGTGTTTAACTTATTCACTGATTTTTGTAAGAGACCCTTCAGCTCTTTATTTTATTATTTATCTTACTGATTTTTCACACAGAGATACGTTTTAGTGAACAAAATGTAAAACTGTATCTGAAGACATCATTGATTTGCATAAGATCAAACATTACTCTAAATGTAAAGAGCAGTACAATATGTTGATAAAACTTCAGATAAAAGATGATTGTAAAAGATGTTTGACCTTGAAGAATAAAATATTTTTCACAGTCATTCCTTCTGTTATGGCTATTTTTGTAGCAGGAACTCCTTTGCATATTAGGCGACACACCCCTAATGTAGCCAATCCTCCAAGAGTTTACAGTAGCCCCTGTAAGAAGAGCTCTGTAAACTCTTGGGAGGATTGGCTACATTAGGGGTGTCTCGCCTAATATGCAAAGGAGTTCCTGCTACAAAAAGAGCTCTGCATAAGAAATTATAGACAGTGGAACCACTAGCACCAAGAAGGGGGGGGTCCATAAAAATTAATGTGAAATTAGTGTATTAGGTGACATTAGATTAGTCTCAATCTCTGGTGCCTGGACCCATGTTGAGGCATCTCATATTGTCCACCAACATCAATTTCTGTAGAAAGAAACTGGAAAAAACTGGAAAGACACTCTTGAGATAAAGTAATTTCTGTAAAGATAATTTTAGATCATATTTTGCCTTATAATCTTGGGAAGATGATTAACAGTTTTCAATACATTTTTATATTTGCATTTTTTCCTTATAACAATTTTATTTTAAAAATGCATTAAAAAGTGTTGAAAATTTACATTTTTTCTGTTGCCCTATTATAAGTAAATAACTTGTTTATATTGCTTATTAATAGTGTTAAATAAATAAGTTCATAAAGTTTATATTTAATATAGTCATGGGGTCTGTCCTGGGGGATGGCCTGGAAGAAAACTGTACTTTTAATCTCTTATTTCATCTTCAGCACTTATTGAGTCTTAATGTCTTGTTGGTTAAGCAATGGAAGGGCCAAGGGGCACCATAGTTGGGCTACGCTTGGGGCATCTGTTAGCCTTAATCTAACCCTGGGAGTACCTATGGGCCCTCTTTTCTTTCACACACTTAGTACTTCCCCCTTGCCAGCCAGCTGGCCAGAAGCCAGGAAGCACTCCACAAAAGCAGGGGTTTCCCCACCCCAGTGAGGGTCTGGCTACCGTAAGCCTCAGTGATAAGCTTTAAGAGATGGGTGGGAAAGAATAACCAAACACAGACTAACAGAGCAGTCTGGTTATCAGGCAGAGGAGCCTCAAGGGAGAAGACAGAAATGTTCTCTACAAATCGAGTCCTCTAGTTAATAGTGTCAATAAAGTGTTAATTATAGAATAAAGATTCTGGAATTATTTAGCAACCAGAGAATACCACATGGTATAAGGAGTGGATTTATATTTACCAAGTGGTTGTGAAGTTGGAAAGAGTAAACAAGAAGCAGGATAAAGCATCTTAGAATCCCAGATACACTGAATCTCTCAAATCATGCTGCAGGCAATTGGAAAGATTCAGATAGCAGTTTGACTTGTTCATCAAAGCGAGCTGTGGAAAAGAAAAGAAAAGAAAAGAAAAGAAAAGCAGAGTTTTAAAAAGCGTGCTTATGTCAGAGAGTCAGGGAGTTCATGAGTTAATCCTCCCTGGAGAGAAGAGCTTATGTGACTGGCTGCTAGGTTCTTTCGTGATTTAGTCTTGGTCAGTGGCCAGAGGGTTTGGCTTCTGAGGGAAGAGACATTTGGGAGTCAGTGTTTTCTGACAGGCAATAGTCAGAAAAGTACTTCTGCAGAGAGAAGAGAACCCCCATTGTCTTAAATATATTAAAACTGCTCTGAGGGAGAATTTAGATTCTCAGTCAGGAAAGCTACAGAACAGCCTTATACAGACAAAAGAGAAGAATTTGGCAGAAGGTCTGTCTAGTTAAGAGAGAACTCCCATAAAAACAAAATATTAAAAGGAGTTATTGCTTCCTAGGGACAAGGAGAATAACTTCTTGCCAGTGAAAGGGGCTGAGAAGAAGACACCTCAGGAGTTACTGAAAAGCTGTAATATCAAAAGGGAAAACCTAGAACTCTGAAGGAAGAAATCTAGGAACTATAGGCAAACATTAGAAGAAACGTTAATAAGAACTGTGTTAGTACTGAAATATACAAAACAAACTACCTCCCTCTCAAAGAAAGAACTCAAAAACCTTGAAACTACAAATACACTCTCGAATGTTCTTTAAATTCTGTATATATTAGAAAGTTTTAACTTCAGTAATCTCAAAACCTTGACTACCTCTATTATACATATATTCCCTGCCTGTTTAATAAAATCTTTATTCTGTTTTTAAAGTTACTCTACCTCAAGTGCCATTTCATAAGGGTTAATCTGCCTCAAGTGCCTTTTCACAACAGAACAGCTCCTGTCTTTCCCTCAAGTCCCTGTACTGAGTCTAAAGCCTAAACCAATATCTAAATGAAGGGTGGGACAGTTTCAAATTTATATCAATAGAGAAGACATACACGCTACTGTAGGGCAACTCAGTCACTGAGGGGACCTAAAGATTTGGCAGATAGTTGGTGAGATACAGGGGTACATTATACCAAAGAGGAAGGTAACCCTATTTTTGAACTTTGCAGGGCCCCAAGCTGATGATTTGTTTAATATCTTTTCACTAACTTCAGATGAGAATTCCAAATATGATACAATGCTCTTCACTCTTGTTTATCATTGTATGCCAAGTAAAAATGAGCCTTTTGAGAATTTTTTCATACAAGAAAGCAATACCAGGTAAAGACCTTAGAACAAATTTAGAGTCTACCGGCACCTTTAAGACCAACAAAGTTTTATTCAAGGAATGAGCACTTTTTCAAATTCATTAGAATGGTAGGTAAGGTTCAAACTTATGACAGGGATTGAGCAGCAAATTAACAGACTTTGGCAAAAAAATAATAGACGTTATTACAGTTGGTTGGCCTAGACATCATATACCAGCACTATGTAATCACTTTCAGGAAGAACTTTCTGTGCTGGATATATCTTGTTGTGGCATGCAAAAAGTATGCTAAGGGACACGACAGAAAGTCTGCATGACTGAAAATAGTAAAAAGAGAGCCAGAAATGT